ACAATGCAAAGGAATAAGAGATGATTGCCATACTTCAAGGTCATCAAGTAATCAACAAAACCATAGGAGCTCAAAAGTAGCATAAGTAAGGGAACGATATTCGAATTTAGTACTGGAATGAGAGACAACTATTTGTTTCTTTCTACACCAGAAGACAAAAGAATCACCAATAAATAAGCAAAAACCAGTGGTGGGGCGACGATCCGTAGGATCACTTGCCCAATCAGCATCAGAGTAACCAGATAAAGTTAAAAAAGATTGATTTGAGAAGCAATAGTGTTCCCTTAACACAACGAAGAATACGCAGAACTGCAGAGTAGCGAGTAGTGCGAGGTGCATACATGAATTGACTAGCAGATGGACAGCATAAGCAATATTAGAATGAGTGACTGTCAAGTAAATTAATATGCCAATAAGCTGGCGATAATGAGAAGGCTCTTCAAGAAGAGTCCCATCCATTGATATAAGACAACATCCAACATCGAGGGGTGTCAAATCTATCTTGCATTAGTGAGACTGGAATGATACAACATATCAAAAGCATACTTAGCTTGAGACATGTAATATAGATTAGAACCATCAAAAAACTCAAGACCCAAGAAATACCGAAGATGGAAAAGACTTTTCATATCAAAATTCTTCCAATGGTAGTTATGTAAATCAAATACGCTAGATTCATCATCTCCAATGAGGATCACATTATCAATATAGAGAAGTAACACAATGATACCATATATACTTCGTTGAACAAAAATGGCAGAGTCGTGCGAACTAGAAGTGATGCCAAACTGAAGAAGAGCTGAACTTAACTTGGAAAACCAAGCATTAGGAATTTGTATTAAGCCATAAAGAGCACATCATAACTTGCAGACTTCAGAAGAAGGAAAAGAACCAATAGACAATGCCGTATAAACCTTCTCAAAGAGATCATCATGGAGAAGGTCATTCTTGACATCTAACTGCAAAAGAGACCACTAACGAACAACTGCAATTATAATTAAACAACGAAAAGAGGTAAGACGTGCCACCAGAGCAAAGGTTTCCTCATAATTAATGTCAGGTTCATATTATTAGCCTTTCATAACTAAACAAGCCTTATAACGCTCAACTGACACCATCAAACATAGTTTTAATATTTAAAATCCATTTGCAGTCAATAGGTGTTTTCTCTGGAGGTAAATCAACAAAGACCTATGAATGAATCTTCTCTAAAGTTTGCGATTGTTGAGACGTATTTTTTGCCACAACATATCATAATTTTATTCATTAAATAAACTACGCCATGTATAGTTATCATAGTAGGAAATAATGATAATCACGCAAATGAGTAGGTTGATGACTTACTTGATGTGGTCGATGAGATATGACATGAATGAAGGTAAACCAAAAAGAGATAATGGATGGAATGTAGACATGATAGAAATATTACACTATCTCAAAATGTAAATGATAATAGATACGCAACTAGTTAGAGATCAAATCCCAAAGCCTATAACCTTTGTGGACTATCCCATAACTAATAAGACAATATAAACATGCATGAGGTTCCAATTTGAAACGTTCATGCAGAGGAATAAGGATAAAACCAACACCATTGAATGGACGGATGAAGTAATTTTGATGTGTTTCAAAAAATATATCCATATAAAGTGGGAGTAATCATGTATGAATATGACATAATAATGACACTCACTTATATAGGGAACAGAGAATGACTCTAAATATCAAAATGAACCAAAGAAAACGGTTTACTTACGATCTACACATTTGTCGAAAGGATAAGGCTGATTAATTTTCCAAATGATAGTGTAAGCAGTCAAATGACTCAAAACTAGTAGAACCCAAATGACCTTTATTAAACAGAGACTGAATTTTAGATGAAGATGCATGACCAATACGAACGGGCCACTAGAGACTAGGAGAATAAAGGATAGTAAAGGGAGTATGAGTAGCAAAAGCAAAAAAAATACGGGGAGCAATTTTCAAAGATTGTACCAGAAATCGATAACCCACCTTTAGACCTCTCTCAAGAATTTGACTCGTACATTGATCCTGAACCTGCACACCTGTAGAGGAGAAAGTAACAATAAGTCTCTAGTCAATTAATTGGTCTCTTGATACATGATTTATAGTCAACTAGAGAATGCAGTAACTATATGCAAGATGTGTAAATTGTAAAGATACAGATCCATAATGAGTGATATCCATGCAGCTCACATTACTAGTCTGTATAGGTGATGAAGATGACGCAAGGTACGCACCGGTCAAGACACCAAGTGTAGGTGTCATATGATTGCAACGACCAAAATCAAAGGACTACATAAAATGGCCATGACATGAGAGAAACTGGAAGCAAGAACTTAGATGCGTGAGAGTCATGATATTCTAGAGGGTTGCAGATGCAGGGTGATAAGAAGACCGAATATTTGACGCATTCCGAAGTGGTCTAACATGATAATTCTGAATGGCATGACCTTGACGATGAAAGTAACAGTACTCCACCGATATAATACAACAATCGGTAGATTACAAAACAGGATAGAAAAATCCAAAAAAACTGTCATAAAAATAAAATCCAATGACAGCATGATGTCGAGGAGGATGAGATGAGGCGGCAAACAAAAGATGGCGGCGATTGATGTCCGGGTGGCTCTCACGCACCGGTCAAAGTTCTAGTAGTGTGAGAGTTGACCCGCGCATGTGACCTATATGCGCCGCTGATCGGCGAGATTTTTCCGGAGAAGGGTCGGCGGACGACGAGGAACACAGTGGTTCCGGAGGTGAGAGTCAGTGATGGCCGGAAGTCGACGAACATAATCTATTAGCTCTCATATCATTTAAAATTTTGAGAGGAAAATAATTAATTGTACTAATAATAAAGCAAAGACCTATTTATAGGCATAGTCCAACATGGATAAAAATAAACAATGAAATAGAAAAATAAATGTTCCAATGATTAAATGTAAATCTTTTGTGAAATTTATTCCATGTATGCAGTTATCTTTTGAGAACCGAAGAAAACAGGAATTCATCATCCTTTGTACAATTTTTACAAACTTGTAAGTATTTTTTTTGTTTGGTATATTTGAGTGTGTTTGTTTTGTGTTTGGTGCATTTTCAATGTTAGATAAAAGGAAGTGCATCAGTAATATAAAATATAATATTTTATATTGAACTTTTGGTTTTTTAGTAGATATAATATATTATATAATTTGTGTAAAAATATTTATACAGGATACTTTTATAATATTAATTGGAAAATCTATTCAAACATTTTGGGTTCAGTGAGAAAACTCATTATTTTTCTTTGCAATATCTTAAAATATGGTCCATGATGTAATTGTTTTCGATGGTTCGTAGAGTTTTCATATACGGTCTTTCTTTTTCTCAATCTGAAAATATAATTCTATAAAATAATTAATTATTAGATGGTGATGATAAAGAATCATTGTTAAAAGATGACTTTTGTAATAATTATAGTTGAAGTTATCGCACTAAACCAGTAATTCGTGGAGTATGTATTTGTTTTTTGAAGTTTTTTTTTTTTTTTTGCTATTTTATAAATATTAACAAATTTTGGATTTTTAAATAATTATTAGATTATAACTTTTAATTAAAAATTAGATTCAATGATGATGTTTTCTCAAGGAAAATTTATTTAATATCCAAAAATTTAATCGGAAAAGAAAAGAAACATATTGGTCTCTTGATTTCTATTCTTACATATAATAAAGATATCTATTTTCTTTGCTTTCTGTTGATTTCCCAACCACACCTAGCATTAAAGCATATGTTCATCGTTTATAAAACAATGACAATTTTTTTTGCATTCATTTTGGTGATATATATGTCTGTAAAGATTAGCTTTATGTTTGATTTCTTTGAGCCTACAAGATTGATCCAAGTTTTTGACAATTTATCCAGGGTGATCATAACTGAAGTTTAGAGTTCCATTTTCATTAATTGTGGTTTTTGGTAAATTATAAGGACGATGATGTTCAAAACATCAAAACTGCTTTAATTGCATTAGTTTCGAGGACATAGGGTAAGAGAATTTGGTTGGATTAGTTTTGTAGTATCAAAATTGATGGAAAAAAAAGGGTATGCCCTCGTAAATCTTAAGAAAAAAATAAAAAATTCTATAACGGAATATTCATATTTTGCAGAAAAAAATAGTTTGAGATCATAAAAAGAGAAGGGGAGAAGGGTTTTATGGAAACCTTAATCTTGATTGAAGTGGCATATTATCATTTTTTGTTTTTTGGAAACCATTGCTATGTATGAGATTTACTAAAACTTTGTACTCTCACTTTGCTTAGTACATGTTTTAAATGGGAGGGAGTTGCTATATAGAAACAAGATAGGCTTGACAAATTCTACAAATTGTTTCGATATGTTCATGAAATTTTGTTAAAATAGCATAATATAAATTAATTTATTCATTTATATTCATGATATGTTATTTATCTATTTGATAGATGAATTTTAGGGTGTGTTGACTTGTGATTTGGTTTTATTTTGATGTTTGAGATCTAGATAGTTTTGGTAAAATAATATTAAAACTGAATTCAAAGCCACAAGTAAAATATGATTCTTATATAATTAATTTCTGTAGCTTTTCCGGTCATATGATTTATCTTTGTTTTTTTTAATGCTGGCCACAATTTGAATTATACTAAGTTATTTTTGGGACTCTTATGTTTATTAAATCTAGAATCTAGAATTGAGTGAGTATTAGGATATTTCAAACTACATGCTTCTAATCTAGGAGAGGCAAATAATATTATTTGATCTTGAGGTGAATATTTTTCAATCTATTTTCAGATTCCTTTTTATTTTTCGTTTGATACATTGTGCCGTTATTGTTATTCAATTAATTTTTTTCTATGCTTAACAAAAAAACTCAAATCAACGAGATTGTGAAAATAAAGTAAATATTTTAGGGATTGTTAATGTCATTTTTATCAACTCATATATTCTAAAATATTCCATTTCTGCAGTATTCTTGAAACAAGTTTGAAGGCAGAGAAAGACACAACAAATTCTCTTAGAATTTGCTGAGATTTCAATTTCTAACGTAATGGTAAGATTTTTTATTTTATTTATTTTTTAAATATTTATTTGTATTTACAATTTCTTAAAATAATATTGCTTTTGATGGGTTTAAGGTAGCTATTGTAATGGGCTGGGTCTAAGTATTTGAGAAGACATCAAATATAACTAGATTTGAATATTTGTAACCAGTTTAAATTTTGTATCCCATTAATATAGTATTGTCAAAAAGAATATATTAATTTTTTTTAATGTAGATTGTTATTTTAAGATAAAATACAAATATTTGTCTTTTAGTAATATATTGTAAAAATTTGTCAAAATATTTAAGATATTTATTATTTGCCTCACTTAGGGTGTGTTTCTTTTGGTTGAGTTTGAAAAAAATTAATTTGAGTTTGATATTAAAATAATATTTGATGGATGTTTTGTGAGAGGAAAAAATGATTTTTTTTTTTTTTATTCGGGAAACGAAAAATCCAAATAGTAAAATTTGGGAAAATTTGGGTAAAGAAACATACCCTCAGTTTTATTTGGACAAAGATTAAATATTTTTTTGTTATCAATGTCACAACTTTTTTATGATATCAGATAACTTATTAGGTCTATTAGATATATGTTTGGTATAAATTAAAGGTAGAATATTCCTATGTCAAATAATCTATTTGTAGTTTGTGAATTCAATTGTCTATATTGCATGTTGGATTGTTTTGTTATTTTCTTATTTTTGCAATCATCTATTATAAAACTAAATGTCAGAACCATTATTTATACAAACACAAAATAGAATGCAAAGCTAATTAGTTTTACAAAAATTATCTGTTATAATTTATTTTTTTTTACCCCATTACTTTTAAAATTTTGCAATGATCATAATCAAACTATGCATTGAGAACATTCCAATTGAGTTCAAATTAGCTAACATAAATGATACATTTGAACCAACAAACGACATCATGAGCTCAGAATCAACAATAGGAATCTACAACGGAGTTATTGTAGTTAGAGACGAGAGAAAGGATTCTCCATGAAGGCACGAGGGGAATGGCAGAGCCATCTTACTACGAGATGAGAGAAGGAAATTGGTGTTACCTGCACTGAGGATTGATAGAGTTCTTCTGTACGAGATAACACCGAAGATGCTGGAGATCCCTTCTGGTGCATTGGAAGGATTAGTGCAGCTGAGATATGGTCGACAGGGATGAAGTGGCCCATCACTACCCAACACCACCCATGCGGTGATGTTTTAATGTTTGCCTTTTTTCCTTTTTTGTTTGCTTATCAATAAAATCTTCAAGGGAGAAAAAATGTACCGTTATGATTTCTCTAACATGGTTGTAGATTCTGAAATGGAGAGCCATCGTGTTCTTGAAATGACAAGATGCAATGACCAACCTGAAACAGGAGATGATCTTCCCACTACAATTGGATTTGACGATAAGGTGCCAATAATTCTATTGGCTCCCATTTGTTATTGAATGCTTCCCGTGAACAATATCTTCATTAAATATGCATTTCTAATCTTATATTCGATATTGAAATTGAACTTCCATGAGCTGCAGGTTAATGAAGAGCTGCAAGCAGCTCAAAATGAAGGATGCACCGGCGAAAACCACGACCTGTCCTATATGGGTAGTCGAAGATTGATTTGAACGTCCTGCGCTCATGTGGAGCTTGATGCATACCAGGTTTTGAGCTCGTGGGTAAGTATATTGTTGTTGAAGCTATACCTGCTTCCATTTCGAGAAATATAATCATCATCATATCGGCAATTGCTTTCACTTTTGTAGGTGGACAATGCTTGTTTCTATAGCTTTGAAGAGGTAGATGATCAAGAAGGTAATGGCTGACTAAATAAAATTCGAACATTTGAAATCACTGATTGACAGTCTCATATTTGCGTCTCTGATTTTAGAGAAAGTAACTGAAAATGAGAGGAAAATGTTGCAGAAGAAAAGCAGCATGGCAAGATGTAGTCTTCTGAAAAAGAATTCACGAAATTTAGAGTATTTGAGGAATCGAGCTCGTACTTATGCTATAATTTTTTGTAATAAGTGTGCACTGTCGGAACTAGACTGCCACTCCAACCAGGATAATTCTGACAGCCCCCTCCGATACGGAGGCTCTCCTTGAAGAATGCCATGAAACTGACGATTTGGAAGGAGATTCGGGGGATAGTGTCAGCAGCAGCAGTAGCACAGGACGAGGCCAAAACGATTTGACATCTCCAAGTTTCTAGAAGAATCCATTCTCGGACCACCATCTGGGACAATGCATACCAGTGAAGCTGAAGACTACCCTGCACTTCCGAAGAAGTTCGGTTTTGAAGACAATGTCGTGCCACTGACAGAAGAGGAGCAGAGAGAAGCTGAGTTGATGAAGGAAATGGTCGATTTGATTGATGAGTTGAATTTTAACCACGCTATGGTAGAAATGGGGACAATTACCGGCCGTGAGGTTAGTCATTTAGTTTCAATAGAAAATAACTGATTAGACACGGATTCAGAACTTATTCAGCACTATTTTAATTCAGAAAGCAATATTATAACTAGCGTTGCATTTACGGCCTGCAGGCTGTTCAAGTGAATGAGTAGGAGGAGGAAGACACTCAGGAGCGCAGATGTGCTCGAGCGCTGCAGAAGCACAGAACAGATGCCTCGACTGCTTGCATATCAATTCCATCTGTGGGCACTTGCGACTTGCATTTTTAGATGAGGTAAGGATGAATAGACGCCAAAGAAAATCCATTTACATTTTTGGACGAGGTAAGGATGAACGGCATCGCGGAGAAAAGTGCGTGATATTGTCCGGGACGTTGTTCCAAAACAACTTCAAAGAGCTGTTCAACACCCTGAAGATCGTACGCCCATAGATCTGGGCCTGCTTTACTTCCCGGAGCAATCAATCATGTAGTGGAGAGGCTTAAAGTCTCCATCGCACCGTTTGGGAAATGTCCTACAAAAGAGACTGTGTCATGCTCCTGAAACCAACTGGATTGCAAAAGAAACTGATCGACAGGTTGGAAGGGGTACTGTTATGTTAAGGAAACAATTTAAGAGTGAACTTGGATTCTCTTTTGTATCTGTTAATCCTTACCCGGTTTTCAAGACCGGGGCTATCAACCACTCAGCCATCTCTCCGAAAGACATCACCCAAAAATGCAAGTCGCAAGTGCCAACCAATCGAATTGATATTCGAGCAGTCGAGGCGTCAAAGCTCATTCCTGGCGAAGCGTCAAAATAAAATTCATCCTCGAGTTTGTCCACCTCATACTAGTATGATGCTGAATGAAAAAGTGCTCATCTTCAGCTATTACATGTGGAATCCACACCCCACCCCACCCCACCCGCACTCTCCTTCTTTATTCCCCAACCGATTCTCATTCTCTTTAGAATGCATTTCATTTCATTATTAGTACTCCCTTACACAACCCAAATCCAATAAATTAATTCATTTCCCCTACACGTTTTCCATTCTCCTTTCTTCTTTATGTGAAGAATCTCAACTTGCTCGTTTCTGCACTCCTTTTCTCCAATTTCTCCTCAATTCAGGTTTCCTTTAATTTCCTAGCTAGCTCTTTGTCCTAACCTCAATTTTCGATTATTAATGTGTTCGCAGGTTGTTTGATTTGATTTTTTTGTTTGTTGCGGACATACAGGAAGAGAGAGAGAGAAAGAGGAGCTTCCGAGGTGAAGAGATATGGCGGCGGAAAAGGAGACGGCCGCGAAGCTGGAGAAGAGCTACTACGATGTGGTCGGACTTTGCTGCTCGTCGGAGATTCCGGTGATCGAGAAAATTTTTGACCAGTCTTTATTATATTCCGCCCTTGGATAGGATGAAAGAGGGTCTGAACGCCAACTATCAGAATTTGTCTTCTGCTTTTCTTCGAACGAGAAGGATTATATCAAAGCAGCAGATGCCGGAGATTGAGGACAGGATTCTCGAAGATATGATCCAGCACACCAAGACAAAGATATAATTTAAAAGGTCATCCACCAGCCGAAGAACCCTGACTTGATCCAGTCCTTGGGCATGAGAGGTTGAGAATATTCCCGGGACTGGGAGTACGTATATATAAAGTTATGTGTTGAGTTAAAGTTTCTTCGAGGAAGCAAATTGATGAGTTGATTGATCATTTTTGTTTCGGAATTGCTTGGTTGATTTGTTGCAAGAAACAAAATGCGATTGATTGTGCAGTTTTTAAAGAAGTTGGGAATTATATTTTCTCTCTTATCATTCCGTAATTTTAACTTGTTTTATGGCATAAACAAACACTACAAAAAAAATATCAATTTTGTAACGAGATTTTTTTGTTCTTAAATCCACTTTTTCCGTTACTAATGATAACTTTAGTAATGGAATTCCGTTACAAATATGCTATTTTTTTATAGTGAAAATATAATTGATTGTCATTCCTATAGGTTTCTGATGATTTTGAAATGCAGAAATATGTAGAGTAGGTTGTGATTTGTATAGATTTATGATGAATTTTGTAACTTCTTAATTTTTTTTTTTTTTTTGACCGATTGTTAATTTGAATTGCTCTAAATTTGCACTAAATGTGTTCGATTGGATAGATTAAGTTATAAGATTTTAAGAATGTTCTCTTAATATTTTGACAGTGATTGTTTGTCAGTGTACTTTGTTATCCTTCTATTTAGATAAGTGTATTATATATAACAAAATTTTGAAATGATTTTTATCTTTTAGTTGTCTCTTGTTAAATTTTTTTGTAAAAATACTTTCGTTATTTAGTGATTTAGAAAAGGCAATGTATTGCTAATGGAAAAAGTTATGATGCATCCATTAAGTCAGACATGATGAATTGTGAGTGAAATGAGAATCCGTAAATATATATATATATATATTTCCTACTTATTTAATTGGTGATTTGTGTTTTTTTTTAATGTTTTTTTTTTAATAATAATTTGAAGGTGAAGATTTGTAAAATTAAACTACTTTAAAATTTTTTTGTAAATGTTAAATTGTAAAAAATAAAAATAATAAATAGAGATTTATAAATGAATTAGTGGACATAATAATGAGACAATATGATTAAAAAGATTTTAAAATTAATTAATCTTCATAATACTTGACTGTATACAATAAAAATATTAAAATATAGTATTTTAATATTATCTTTACATACCATTCAATATTGAGTAAAATATTTATCAATTCAGTTCCCATTAACAACATGATAATGAACACAAAAATTCTTTCGAAAGAAAAAAGAAAAAAACCTAAAAAAAAAAAAAAAAAAAAAAAAAACTCTCTAATTCTAAAATTTCAACTGAAAACACAGTATCCTTTGGAATCCAAATTTAAGATTCCTTGAAACCTTTTTCTCTTTTCACTTTTATGATTTCAAGCAAAAGGTTATGCAATAACAGAATTCAAAAAAAACAAAAATGCATCATTTTTTATTTCAATTTTCCAAATCAATCTGATCAAATAGTTGTTTGTTGTTGTAAACATTCTTTTAACTTATCCAACTCACGGAGAAATTAATCAACCCCTGACCTTTAGTTGTGGGTCAGAGTTCTTGGAAATTGGGAAGTACCTTATGCATCAAATATTTAATGTGCAAAGAAGAAATTTAATTTTCTTACCACCAAATTAATCTAACTGAAAGAATGTCAGACAACCAATCCAATCAAAACCGTTCATCCTTCTAATACTCTTTGACTTATCCAACAAAAAGAATTAAATTATACCTCGATTTATGTTAGACATCAGAAGTTGAAATTAATTTATCCATTAAATTTTTCACATACACCCCAACATCTGCAAGATGTTACGGAAAGAATGGTCAACAATGAACTTTTATTTTTTACATATAATTATTTAACTTTACAATTTACAAACAATGTGAAGGATATGTTTATTCTGCTTTTTTTTTTTTTTTTTTGGATTGGACATGTTTGTTCTACTTTTGAATCATAGTATGCTCGTAAGTATATATAGTTTTAAGAAAATATATATATTTATTAAATACTTAAGTTCGTCTCTTTTTTGGACTTTTCATTTGTATTATGGTTATTTTTATTATTTTTGTCTAACAATAGTTTAATTTGATGTGATTTTGTGAAAAATAATTATATTCTTATTTTTATAATAAAACACAATCCTATTTTCCGCCTCTCACAAAATCACACAAATAAGAATATATTTTATTCTTACAAAATCACGTCAAATTAAACTATCATTTAAACAAAAATAATAAAAAGTAACCAGAATACAAATGGAAAGTCAAAAAACAGAAAAAGTTAAGGTTGTATTCTTTTGTGAGTTTTGTCGCAAGTTTTACTATAGAGAGTTTTTTTTCCTAAAAAAAATATCACATTAAACAATTACTTTTTTTGTTATATTATACTACAAATTTATTTTACATTTAAAATATCACATCAATCTCTATTTATATCACATCACATCAAACAACTATTCAAATTCAACTTTTTACTATTAAGAAATCCAAACCCAAAACCTAAAACCCACAAACAAACACACCTTAAGTATTTAATAACTATATATTTTTCTTCTTAAAACTATATATAGTTACCGGTAGACTATAATTCAAAAATAGAACAAACACACCGTTGACGTTGTCTGGTAAATAGTAAATTCAATAATTATATGTAATAAATAAAAGTCATTGTTGTCCATTCTTTCGCTGACATCTTGCCAGAATTTTCTAATGTATGTGAAAAATTCAATGCATAAGTTAGTGACGCCTAACAGAAATTCAAGTTTGATTTAATTCTTTTTGTTAGATAAGTTAAAGAATATTCAGAATGACGAACTGTTTTGATTAGATTGGTTGTTTGCAACTCTGAATCAGTTAGATTAATTTAGTGGTGAGAAAATTAAAGAATGCTTAGAGCATGAAACAACTACTTTGATTGGATTGGCTTGAAAAATTAAAATTAGAAATGATGCATTTTTTTTTTTTTTTTTGAATTTTGGTATAGTTTTTTTTTTTAATGAATTTTTGAATGCATTATCATGTTGTTAAGGAGAATTGAAATTGATAAATATTGGGGCGGTAGAGAAAAGATTGATACTCGTGTGTTTGTTTGGGGGTTTGAATTTTGAATTGAGATTTGAATAGTAAAAATTTTAAATTTGAATAGTTGTATGATGTAATATAAATAGGTGTTGATGTGATGTTTTGAATGTAAAATTGATTTTTAGTATAATATAAAAAATGAAAAATAGGTGTTTGATTTGATGTTTTTGGGGAAAAAAATTAGATGAATAGTGTAAATCCAATCCAATCACCCAAACAAACACACTTTTCTTTGCATGAGGCCAAGCAGTATGAGTTTGTGATATCTTATAAGAAGCATTCAGTTCTTTTTAACCGTTTGTGCCTCGTTGTTATGTAGACTAATTGTCATATTTTCCTTGTCTATTTGGATAAGATAATTCTAATATGAGAAATCGATGATTTCTTCATTTTTGTTTTTATGATATTTATATTAATCAATGATTTCTAAAGGTGTGTCTTTAATTGAGAAATGAATGGAATTTTTATAGATTTGTTTGAATTCTTTATAAATTTATATGAATTTCTCATAATTGAAGAATAATTTTTTTTATTGATACGTATAATTATATAAATTTATATCAAACATAAGTTTTAAAAATATAATATATTTATGATTAAAGTTATTATATATTATATTTTTTAAAATAAATAAATAAATAATATATACTTATTAACAATGTAGAAACCTTATAATATATATAACACAACTATATTGTATATTAATATTTTTAATTTTATAATTTTATAATTTTTAGTATTATATTAGCATTCAATATATCAATTATTTTTATATTTTTTATTAGTTGTTATTATTATATATACTATAATATTTTCACATTAAAAATATATATGTATAAAAATAAAATAAAATAAATAATTTAAAATTTTTGAAAAAAAAATATTAAAATAAAAAGTAAATAAATATAAGTTAACGGTTCTACAATAAAAATATATATATAAATATTTATTCCACTATGACCCATATAACAATATAATGTATTTGATAATTGAAATCAAAGAACGACATCAGAATGACAATATATTATATTTCATAATTATGATAATAATATTTTTTAATATTACATTTATAATATAAAAATATACTTTTTCAAAAAGATAGATAATAATTTGCTAATATAATTTACTTTAATTTATTACTTTTATTTAAAAAAACTATAATAATATTAATAAATAGTATCGAATTATTTATCACGTATACAACAACAATAACAACAAAAAAAAAATAATAATCATAATAATAATAATAATTGTATGCATAAAAAATTAAATGTCTAAATTAAATTAAAGATCATATATTTTGGAAGAAAATAAAATTCCAATAAAATAAATATACGATATTTAATTATGCACATATGTTAATTTTTGAACAATATATATCAACTATTAATGCAAAACTTGTTTAAAATGGAAGATATCGTGCATAAATAGAGCCATAATAAATTTGGCATCAGAATGAATTATTTTTGTCGATAAAGGAAGTATATAAATTAATATTTTCGGAAAAAAGCAATGATACAAAGATCTTTGCGAGAAAGGAAGCGGTACAATCAAATCGGTTGCAAATGAAAAACATCTGATGGAAAATGAAAGATTATAAAATATTCTTATTGGTCAATCAGGACGCGCCATGTGGCACCATTCAAAAGGAAGCCGAAGTCACCCCTTCCCTATAAATAGGAGTCATGGTCAGTTCATTTCACACATCCAAGTTACATCGATGATTCAAACAAAGGGGTAAGTCTCTAGACTCTCTGTATTGTTCTTCATGTTCTTCGTGTCCTTCAAAATGTTCTTCGTCAAAAGTCACTGATTTGGACAAATGATCCAATATTGGTTGATGAATTGATGAAGTTAACGTTTTTCGTCGTATGCCCAAGCCGGAGGAAATATCAAAGCTCCCAAATTCGTTGAGGAATTCGTCAAAGCTAATAGAAGGTCTTCAAATTTCCTCTCAAAGCTTCAAGATGTTCATCGCATTCTTCAACAAAGCATCAACTAGGCCCTCTTCGATCCAAAAGTCAAAGGGACACGCCGCAAAAAATGTTATGAAGCACCAAATCCACCTCTTCAAGGATCAAAGCTCCAAAAGCTGTTGAGGAATTCGTCAAAGCCAAGGGACGGTCTTCAAATTTCCTCTCAAAGCTTCAAGGTGTTCATCGTGTTCTTCACCAAAGCATCAACTCGGCCCTCTTCGATCCAAAAGTCAAAGGGACACGCCACCAAAAGTATTATGGAGCACCAAATCCACATCTTCAAGGATCAAAGCTCCAAAAATTGTTGAAGAATCC